CTCACCCTGCAGACCCACCTCACTCCAGGAATCCTAGCATCCTCTTCATGACTTGGCCCTCTGGCCAGGCCACTATCTATGTTTCCCCCTTCTGAGGTTACCCAAAGTCCTTCTATGCAAACAGTCCCAGGCAGTCTTCACCCATGCTGCCCTGATGGTGTCCCTTCCCCCAATGGCCAGCATGGGAACCATCGTCCACTGCAGGTTCCAGTCCAGGGACTCTCTGCTTAGCAGTTCTGTGCTCTAGCCACTCAGCCCTCACTGCTCCTTCCTAGTCCTCCCTTAGAAAGTCCAGTCCAGTCCAGTCCAGTCCAGTCCAGTCCAGTCCAGTCCTTCTCTTCTCTTCTCTTCTCTTCTCGCCTGCTACCTTCCTACCATGCAGCCTTTCCCAGGAGCCCCCTGTCTGTTGGGGGCTGCCTGGCTTTATAGGTCCCACCTCTCCTGCCCAGCTGAGCCTGCCCACAATCAACCCTGCCCCCTGGCTCTCCCTCCAGGTGCAGCCTCTGGAGTTAATTGGCCTACCTGGCCACCTTAACCCGTTTGAAAGAACACCCCATCTCGCACACAGAATTAAAATTAAATACATCAACGAATAAAGCTCTTTGCATGTACCGCCCAGAGAAGCTGCTTTGATAATATATAATTTAAACCTGCAACAAGAACTGCTGTGCTTTATCTAGTGTGGAAACCCTGGAAAGTGAGTGTTAAAAGCTCATTCCCTTCTTTCTTTTAGAAAGACATGTTTGAATTTAATAAAGGCTGGAGGTTCTCTGGAATCCAAAGGATATTTGACAACAATCTGGTCAAAGAACTGGGAGGGTTTGGGACAGAGCCTGGCAAGTTCATCTGGCCAACCAGTGTGACCATGGCTCTGGATGGAGATCTGGTTGTAAAAGATAGTGGAAACAAAAAGATCCAGCTCTTCAGCCCTGACGGTTGCTATAAGAATGGGTTTTCCTATGGATCTGAACCAAGAAAAGGTCTGGGAGATGTAGCATGCACACAGGATGGCTTGTTGCTTGTGACTGATGGATCCAAAGCCATCAAGGTCTTCTCTAAAGATGGTGAGATGATCCACCAGCTGAAGTCTCCCAAAATGGACTGGAATCATTCCTACAGGGTGGCAGTCCTGAAGTCCAATGATATTGCAGTGACAGACTGGATAGATGGGGGAAAGGTTCACATCATTGGGGTGGACTGGAGAATGAATGCCATCCTGAAGATGAACGCGATAGATGGCTTTCATAGACCAGAGCACATTGCAGTCAATAAGGTACAGTATAGCACAAACTACTAACACAATGATTATTTACATTGTGGCAGTTCCCAAAATGCACTAAGTGCTTTCTAAACACAGGGAAACACAGTCCCTGCCCCCATGTGCTTGCAATGTAGGATGAGCAATAATTTTAATAAAAGGAGGACTTGTGGCACCTTAGAGACTAACATATTTATTTGAGCATAAGCTTTCGTGAGCTACAGCTCACTTCATCGGATTTCTTTTTCCCACTGAACGCATCCGATGAAGTGAGCTGTAGCTCATGAAAGCTTATGCTCAAATAAATTTGTTAGTCTCTAAGGTGCCACAAGTCCTCCTTTTCTTTTTGCGGATACAGACTAACACAGCTGCTACTCTGAAACCAATAATGTTAATGATGACTCTTTTGTTAGCAGTAAGTTATGGAACAAGGTGGCAGAATTGTAAGAACCAGAGCTTTATTAAACATTCTGCAAGGCTAGTACTCCATGCTGAGGCTCTTCTATTTCCCTTGGTGTCACAGCCCTGTAACAATCCCCCCTACCGCCAGGCTTACATGCCTCCCGGATCAGCCAGGTGTAGCAAAGCTAAAAATTGAACCCAGATCTCTTGGTCTCTGTCCATTGCCTTAACCACAAACAATCCTTTCTCTCTTGTACTGATAGGCTGAAACAGTGCACAGAGTAAGAAGAATGTTTGAGCAAAGTGTATGATGAGTGGTTTTGTTCTGTGTAGTCCTGATGATTCTGCTGAATGAGAGATACTGATTTTCTTGAGAGATCAGGGTGAGATCCATTCACAGTTTCTCCACAAACCCACCAGGCTGTAGACCAACTAAGTAGTAGTAGAATTCAAAGAATGTTCTTTTTGCTGTTAATAAATTACTCTGATACGCCTTCAGCATCCAAACTCTGGAATGGATTTCTGGGTTATTTAGGACCAGCAGTAAAGCTAAGCCCTTTGGAATTCTCACTTTTTCCCCCCAGCAGAGTGAAGAGATACTGGTTACTGAAGGGCAGCTCTTTGGAAAATACCAAGGCTGCTGCCTCAAAATTATGGACAGTGAAAGAATTCTGAAGAAAACAATTGGACCAGACTACGGCAGCAAATTCACCTTTGTGAAGCCCTCTGGAGTCTGTGTAGGTTCAAATGAGAACTTGTTTGTTGCAGATGAAGGACAAAACCGCATAGTGATGTTTAACCCCGATGCATCCCTGATTGCTTTAGTAGTAACTCAAGATCTAGAGGGCCCTTGTGGGCTTTCGGTAACAAAGGATGGGCTCTTGGCAGTAGCTGGCTGCTATCACCACAATGTACAGCTCTACAGATACAGATGAGAGTAGGTGAATGCCTTATCTTAGCAATTGAACTTGCCTTAGTAAATACCTTTGTACATGGTGAATAAAATAGAAATGTAAAAATCTAGGTTAACATGGGCCAGAATCATAATCACTGGGCTGCTTCTACCAAGGAGAATAAAAACATTCTAGACTTATGGAAGAAAGCACTATAGGCTAGGACTTGGAGCCAAGAACTCCTGCATTATAATCTCAGTTCTGCTACTGCTTTACTGTATGGTCTTGGGCAAATCACAACCTTATATCATGTCACAGTTCCTGCACCTGGTAAATAGGATTCATGCAACTTACCTCCCTACTTCACTGGAGAGTGGTTCAGAAGAATGAATGTTTGGATGATGCATTGAAGATATAAAATGCTATGTAAGTGCTAACTGATATTATTATTAGATAATCTCAAATTCAGAGGTAGTTTAGAGCGTGTGCCAGGTTTTTTCTGATAAGTAAGGGGAAAACTGTAAGATCTCAGATCTGATGTGTAGTCATTGTTGGTAAATACTGACATTTGAAGAGCTAATTAAAGTGATCAATTCTGTTCATTTGCCTAATGCTATTAGGATATGAGTTTGCTACTTGTAAGCTTTCCACGTGTGCTGGGATGTACTCTCCTGAAGACAGGGTTATCCTACATGTGGCCGCTGAATTGAGACTATGAGAGTATTTGTATTCAGGGCTCTCTCTTACCTTTTTGCTGTAATGGAGATGCACTGGGAATCATTCAAATATCAAATATCTCCTCTCACTGCAGTTTTTCCACCAACTCCAAATGTGTTGTAATAATCTCTGTAACCTGCCTTCCTGCCATCTCTTTTGGTCAAGAGTCTTCTACCCAAGCCTCCCACTGGATTCTGGTTGCTTCCTAATATAAAGTATCTTGATTCTTCTTCTTTAAGAAGGGGAGTGTTAAATAGGAAGGGGAAAAGTTAAATATTGGAGAGGGGTTTTCTCGTCATAGACACAGAAGATCATGAGCAGTACTACAGGAACTTCACTTCCGAATCGCAAAGAAACAATGATGGGGTCCTCACTTCAACAACACTAACAAGGGCGGGTAGCACCAATATGTTAAAAAAAACCCTGTGAATTAGTCAGATATGATTTATCAGTAAGTATCTGCAAGTGGGTAAAAAAGGGTAAGGTACGCTGACATAGGTTACAGGCCAAAGGCCCAGAAGGAAGGAGCAGAGCAGGATGATGTAAGAAGGTTCAAGTCATAGTTTGGGAAAACACGGTTACTTACGTTACAGTAACTGTGATCCTTCGAGATGTGCTACGCATGTGGATCCCACTCATGGTCCATGTGCACCTCATCTGGCATCCATATGCACAGGGACTCCAAGACTTTAACTTTCAATCTCCTCTTAGGCCTTGTCTTCCGCAGGAGAAAAGGTCTGTTTTCAACATGTGTGAGCTAGCACATAGTAAGTGACAAATCTGCCTGCATGCAGAGGGCTGACCAAAGGCCAGTGCACCTCTTGAGCTGTCGCTCATACGCTCCCCTAGAGTATGTCTATGTCTCAAGCAGAGGGTGTAATCGCCAGCTTGAGGAGACACACCCCCACTAGCTCTGATCAAGTTAGCATGTTAAAAATAGAGTGCCAGGCAAGCAGCAATGGGGCTAAGGCACCTCAAGTACAATACCTGTCCGAGATGCGGGTGTAACCCCCACACCTCCTGGGTGTGGAGTTCTGTCCCCTCTAGTGGCACCGAGACCACTTAGAGAGAGAGAGAGAGAGAGATTCTGAGTCTGCTCTACAGCCTTAGCCAACAACCAGCTGACTTTCAGCTCATGTGCTAGAGGCTCACGCGCTAAGCTCCAAAGGGCCCAGGTTTGATCCTGATGACTGGGGTCTGTCACCGTTACACTAGGCAAGTACTCGTGGTGGCTAGCCGCTCACAGTGCCGCGACCGCTGTCTGTTTTTACCACGCTCGCTCAATTAGAGCTAGCATGGATATTTCTCATCAAGCTGGGAGTTACGCCCCTGGTTTGAAGTGCAGACATACCCTTAGACACCCTTGCACTTGTTTTCTAACATGTAACATTCACCACCTTAGAAATCAGATCTGAAATTTGCTTAAAGTGTTCAAACATGCCGTGGGGCACTTGGTTTCCTGGAAGGTGTGATAACAGACTCCAGTGCTGTACATTCTTCCTGGGGTTGTCCGAAAGGAATGTCTCATTATCAAACTTTAAAATATTGTTACAAAACCCAAGGGATTCGGTGGCCTTGGCACATGAAACAACAGTGACCACAAAGTGGTTATAGAAGAAGCACAATGTATTAATAAAATGTTTTAGCAAACCAATGGGTTATCGGTGATGTGTCCTTAGACAACCAACTATTTTAATACAGAGATTTGGAATAGAACCATTTTATGTTAATGATTTAAACAACCATTTTATTTTTTAAACAAACTAAAACGATAGCATTAGTACAATATGAACATAGTCATCAGAATGTAGGAACCTCAGGAGGAAATCTAGTCTGTCCTCTGGCACCATGGCAGGATTACATATTAATAAGCCTGAAGGATTCCAGGTCGTGCAAGACAAGACAGATGGTGGTATCCTCAATCTTTAACATGCTCCTTCCTTTACAATCTTTATATTCATGTCATGTTCCCTAGGGAAAACAAGAAAAAACTATCAAGCTTTCTCAAACTGGGTCACAGGTATGCAATATTCCGGGGCACTGCTCTCATAGATCAGATGCACAATGCACCCAGTCTGAATAGAGACTTCCTACACCCAAAACAGATACTGAAATCTTTGCTGTCAACTCCAGTTTCTTTCTACATAAAAGGAAAATACCAGGCAAGCTTGCGTTGCACCCTTCCATTGCCTATTATATGTCACCCCTGAGAAACAATCTGCCTCAGCAGCTCAGCACATCTTCAGTCAGATGGCACAAAGAACCCTGACATGAATCTCACCTGCAGTAACTGCAGAGCTCACACTTGTTCCGGTAGGTTCTCCCGTCACTGCCACAGACAGGGCGATAATACAAAATACATATTGGTCTGAGGATGTAATGAACACACACAGGCTGGAAAAATTGAAGGAAAAATCATGAGGTCAGTATTTCATTATTTAGACTTTCATGGAGAAAGCCAGAGTGCATACAAATCAGAGGGCTGCATTCTGCACACCCAGAGCAATCCCCATTGAATCCAGTCGAGAAGCCTGGGGTGTAACACAAAGTCTGGCCCATGGTCACTAGCTCAGACAGCACTGATCGTGATAAATGGAAGAGTAATTTTTACTGCTAAAAGTTATTTGAAAATAAAAAGTGCATATGACACCTACATTCAATCAGAGAATGTTATACACCCCTTGGCTAGTAACAGCATTGGTTGTAAGAGAAATGGGGGGGGGGGTGGTTCAAAGGCCTCATTGGCAGCTAGACACCAAACTCCCATTGAAAGTCAAGGGCCGTTAGGTGCCTAACTTGCTGTTGTGTTTTTGAGACTCTTCCCCCCTTACCCTTTCGGGGGAAGAGCTAAGGACAGCACTTACCAACAGAAATAAGAGAAAACTCCAAGTTCCACCTTAACAGATGGGCAACGTGGAAGTGATTAAGATGGAAATGCTGAATGAGCAGGTGTGATCCTTGGTCATTTGCCAGGGAGTTAAAGTCACCAGTAACTTTCTCTAAGTTTAAGCAAATATCAGTTGATGTTACATAGTCTTAGGCATAGTTAAGCCCTTTTGTACAGAATGTTTCTTTTGCTTTATGCACCACCACTTAGATCCATTTAGATCACAAAGGGAACTAAATAGCCTGTCCAATGCTGGACCACGTTCAATAGTCATTTTTGTAACAATCAGATAAACACTTTCTCTCTGGTCTCCCTTTATGGAAAGGGGAGTGATCAGGGGACTAGAATTGTCTTGCTCACTCACAGTCCCCTGCTTTCACCACTATACAAGACTGGCCCTGCCATGTGTGCTTATAGAAAAATATATCCACTCCACTCCCATGTGTTCTATAATAATACATACAGAAAAGAGTAGACAGGGAATGGGATGAATTCAGGTTGATGATAGTGAGTAACAGAGCTGGGTGAATAATTTGTAACAAATAATTTTTTCAATCAATTTTGCCCATTTCATTGTCTGCGAACAGATAGTGATTTATCCATATTTATTATCTATTCAAAATTCTTTGCTTAATAATTTCTGGGAATAATTCCCAGCCTGTAGCTTGTTCATGAGGAATTTGTAGTGAGCATTTGATATTTAAAATTTGAGCTGCATGGAGGAATTTTGATCAGACACATAAATCAAAAGATACGTTTCTGGTCCCTGCTTGGCTGAGTGAAATTTTGACTCAAGTTTCCAGTTTGAATACTTGTGATTAAAAGTTCAAAATTTGCTTTTTCTGCCTTGTCACTTAAAATTATTTATTCCATGGTCATTCCTGCCAGTAACCTTATTTGTTAGACTGTTTATGGAAAGCAGAAGGGTGCAAGATAGTCACAGCAAATTTGTTTAAAAATTCAAATTAATATTATCAGTATTTGCTCAGTTCTATTGAACAATATTTCATACATGTAACAGAGTAAACAAAGAAAGATCTTACATAGCTTGGTAATTGTCCAGTTCTATTTAGTCCTTCATATCTTCCTGTGCCTTCCTCTGAAATACAATTTGTTCATATGAAATCAAAACATAAGCTTGAAGTGGTGAACACTGCATCCATGATCAAACTTTAGTGAAATGTGCATAGAATTAATCTATGTAGCCATGTGTTCCTCATCCTCCCGCAGTATGTTTGCTACAATCATTTGTTGTTTCTTGTTTTAATTTAGATTGAAAGATTTGGGGGCACGGACTGTCTTTAACAATGGGCAAATGAGTGTGCAGAACTACATCGAACGATAAGAGGCAATATGAATGTTTCCCTTAGGCAGTCTCTGCACCTAGGTCACAGCTCTGGTACCTGGGGGAGTATCTGGGGCTGCATGCCAGATTCCCCCCACCAGCAGAAACTGGGCAAGGAGCAAACAAAGCCATAATTTCTCTCCCTCCCCCCCTACAGTGGGCAGTGGAACTAGCTGGTTATGCAGGGTGAGGGATGGAATATGCTGCACCCCTTAAAGGAGAGTCACAAATTATTCCCCCCTGCCCCAGCACAAACAGGACCACTGTTAGGCACAGTCCCGGTGCATCCTCCAGATCACACCCAACACTGTGAGCTGCTTGCAGATAGCATGATCCCTCTATGGGCGAAATCCTGGCTCCATTCAAGACAGTGGGAGATTTACCACAGACTTCAATGCAGCCACCACCTCACTCTATGTATTTATACAATGCCTAGCACAATAGAGTCTCCTTCACAAATAATAAAATAAGAGCTGCAAGATAGGGCAAAAACATGTAATAAAATCCCAAGCACTGATCATCCACCTGTTATAGAAAGGTCACAGTTAAACGAAAGAATATTGGGTCAAATCCTGCAGTTTGCAGCCAATGGGACCTTTGGCCGAGGAAAGACCAAGGACTGTAGAAATTAGCCCATTGACTCTCAGGATTTCATCCTCCAGATGCTATAGGATGTGGTAATGTTCTTACTACCAGGAGTAACTCCATGGAAATCAAGAAGATAAGTGAGTCTTCAGCACCCCTGAAATATCAGGTCACTTATATTTAGTTGCTCAGCTGTGGCTATAGGTAGCTAACTCCAACATCCAAGTTTGAGAGTTTTGGTTCAGTGTTTCTAAGCAAATGACAAATGTACCCCCCGCAACACAGTGAAACAGGAAAGAAAATATACGGAGACTTACCAGCAAAAGCAGAGAAGCAAAACAAGAGCACAGCAATGTGAACTTTAAAATTCATCTTGGTTTTGACATCGCCCACACACTAGTAGATCAAAAGCTTTGCTCTGATACTGTTTCTGGGCAGCAGTTAACTGTAATTCTTTTCATAAAGAAGTGGCTATTATATGGGCTGGGAAGTGCCAGAGTTGTTTATTTTTGGTATTTAACTCTTTCACTTCTGACTCTTCAGAAACTCCACCTCCCGCTTCCTTGCTCAATTCCCCCGACTGCTCTTCCCCTGTCCCCGAGGAAGCCCGCTAATCAGTTTCCCTGTCACCTAATAAATTCCATCTACAGCCAAAACTCTGATCATCCTTTGATGACCTGGAGCAACCTCCCATTCACCAGCACCCCAGTTATCCTATCCTGCTCATCCCGCATTCCACCCACCTTTCCCGACAGCAATACCCTCACCCCAAGTAACCCATACAACAAATCCTAAGAAATACCCTCCACAGAGCAAATTCCCCCACTCCAACAGCAACTCGACTCATGCTGCTGGTTACAACATGCGCTCACTGGAGGAATCATGGGTGAAATTCCCTGGGCTATTACCTAGGTCAAAAGAGATCATCATGATGGTCCTCTCTGGCCTTAAAATCTATGCAGCTATGATTTTGAGAGATACTGAGCCCCCACAATTCTCACTGACTTCAGGTGGAGATGTGGGTGTTCAGCACTTTTAAAAATCGGGTCCTTGGCACCCATGTGTGTTTACCTACATACACAGAACTTCTGTCCAGGGAGATATCCCACAGCCCTCACCAGCAGCAGGAGTGGTCTTCTTGGAAGTCCTCAGGAGGAGATGTCTTTTGGGAAGTGGCAGGCCAGTCTGTTCCACACACCAAGAGCACTTTCATCTTCCTTCTGTAAGCAGTGTCAGGACGAGCTCCACCCTGACATCTGGTGGTGAGGTGTGGCAAGTTGTGGAAAAGAACTTCAGGGGCTGATCTCATTTGCATAGGCACACCCACCCTGCCTAGAATGAGGCCATAGCTGCCCAAATGGTCACTTTGGCTGCTGTGGGATCCCCAGTGTCTCTGTTATTGGGGCAGGAAGAATAAATTGTAATTACCCTGATTATGGGAACTGTGCTTGGAACTGTACTTGGCCTTTTGAGATGATGGAGGGACTCACCATCACCGAAGGAGCACTTGCTAGGCAAGGGTCATGGGTTCCAAAACTGTGTAAATTGAGAGAGGGGCTGGGGACAAGTATTAATATTTGATGGTATGGGCCTCTGGGTGAGGGCCTTGCATGCTAATTGCACTTCCTCCTCTCTCTACTGTGGAATATCAGAGCTAATTCTGATTCTATTAGGAGTCTAGTTACAGGCTACTGAGCTCACTTTGGGCTAATGGTGGACCAGCCCTGAGGCTCCCCTACTACAAGCTGAATTCACCAAAGAGCTGAACTGACTAAGAGCTGAAATCAGTGAGTGTTGTGTTAAGTGTTGGGGAAGCCTGAAGATATATGGTGGAGCAGTTTGTGGGATGGCTGGAGTGCCTTGTGGACAGGCTGGTGGAGCAGTTCATAGGATGGTGGGAGCTGCTTGTGGGACGCAGAGCAGTTCGTGGAGTGGTGGGAACTGCTTGTGGGCTGTGAAGCTGAGCGAAGCAGTTCGTGGGGCAGTTCGTGGGGCGGCTGGCTGAGTGGAGCGGAGGTCTGTGGGGTGGTCAGCTTCAGATCATGTAAGGTGCCCCTTACCTCTTCTCCTTCTCCCCCACCCCCCCATCTCCACCCAGGTTGGGAGGTAAAGCTCTGCAGACAAACTTTCGAACTCTGGGGCTGCCCTGACCAAGGACAGAGACTTTTGGGTCATTGGACTTTTGGGACTTTGGGGGATTTGGGGTTGCTGGACTCAGGAACCAAAGGGAAAGGGCATGCCCCAATTTGCTTGGGGTGGGTTTTTTTTTTTGCTCATGGGTTGTGTTACGAATCCTGTTGGTGGTGTTTCCCCAACATAATGCCACATTGTTTCTCTCTGTTATTAAAAGACTTTTTTGCTACACTCAGACTCTGTGCTTGCGAGAGGGGAAGTATTGCCTCTTGGAGGCGCCCAGCGGGGGTGGTATATATTTGTCCCAGGTCACTGGGTGGGGGCTGGAGCAGGTTTGCATTGTATTATTGGAATGAATCCCCTAGATATTGAACCCGGCCCTTGTTGCTGCCAACTCTGACGGGCAGAAGGGTTACACTTCTGTGGGAGGGAGATGTCTGAGAACTGTTTTTCTTCCAATCCTCTGCGTGGGTGGGCGCAGGGGGTGCAGTGAACAGCATAAGCTGCTTCTTCCTTTTCTCAGAAAGTGGGAGAATTTAGAATAGCTTCTTTTCCCCACCTCATTGGAACAGGAAGCCCAGGTGGAGTCTCCTTAGTTCCCACTGTGGAGCCTACTGATGGTGCTAAGTTCCCAGTGGGGCACATTTGTTGAGGGCCTCAAGTGCTGTACTTCCTACTCAGGCAATGAGGGGAGTGCTCCTGTCAGAAGTGGCATGCGTGCCAGGTTTGCATGGACACATGCACCTGCTGCTGGGTTGGGCTTGAAACTCCTCAGGGATTTCAAGGGGAGAAAAAGTAGCCTGGCACAGGCTGCAGGATCAGCTGCTAATGGCTGTTGTAGACCCCAGGGCCAACTCACTGTGGGACCAGGCTTCCCTCCCCCACATCATCCTGGTTGTTAGCATCACCCTCAGACTTTGGTGGGTAGGGCAAAGGCAGAGGGGGACACAGGCAGAGAATAAATTCCACGCAGTTCAAGAAGACATTGCTTTAAAATAACTAAATGTGGGGATTATATTGCCCCTTTCATTTACTTCCCCTCTCTTTCCCTGACAGAACTCCATTTCGTATTATTACTGGCACTGGTTCCCTCACCTCGGCACGTACTTAGGACACTGAATCCTTGCTATGCAGCTAGTTCAGATCCGGGCCAGGCTGGTGCTGATCAAACTAGTTTCTGTGCAATGGCTATTCAGGGGGCTATAGTATGCACTAGTGGAGAGTGAATTGGCCTGAGTCCACCCTGAGCAGTAGCCACAGTTGCGACAATCAAAATGCTACATGTGTGGGCAGGGTGTGGGGGTGCAAGGGATGGGATATGGAGGTGGACGGGGTGTGGGGGTGGGCAGGCTATGGGGCAGGGTACAGGGAGTGTGGGGCATGGGGCATGGGGTGTGCAGGGTGTGGGGGTGCAGCGTATGGGCTGTGAATGTGGACAGGGTGTGGGTTGGGTAGGAGGGAGTGGGGGGTACCAGCATAGGCAGGGTACGGCAGGGCCGGATTAACCTTTTGTGGCCCCGGGAGTGGTGCAATCAGCCAGGCCAGGGCCTGCTCCAACAAGCCTCCCTCAGGACCCACTTGCCTGGAGGGGCCCAGCCAAGCCCCCCACACTGTCCCCCACAACTGGCTGAGACTGGCCAGGCTTCTTAACCAGTCCCAAGCAGCGCAGCTCCAGGGAGACCGGAGGGGCCCCACAGGTGGTGAGAAGCAGAGACTGCCCGGAGCTGGATGTGCACTGGGGTCTGGCCAGGGGGTGAAGAGGAGCCCTTGGCAGGCAGGCCAAGAGGAGCAAGTGGTGGGCTGGTGGGGTCTCAGGGTGCAGCGTAAGCTGAGCAGGCTAGGGCCCCATCTGAGCATGGTACAGGGAGTGGGGGGTACTGGCCTGGGAAGGGTGTGTGGGTGCAGGTTATGGGGTGCATGAATGGGCAGGGTGTGGTGGCAGGGTACACAGAGTGTTGGGGGGTGGGAGTGCAGGGTATGGGGGGTGGGTGTAGGTGGGGTGTGGTGGTGGGCAGACTTGGTAGCAGAATACAGGGACTGTGGGGGGTGTGGGTGTAGGGGTGCAGAGTGTGAGGTGTGGACGTGGGAGGCGGTGGTGGTAGCAGGCTACAGGGAGCAGAGGTTACGGGGGTGGGCAGGGTGTGGAGGTAGCCGGTGTGTGAGCAGGCTGAGGTAGCAGGGTACAGGGAGTGTGGGAGGGTAAGGGGCTAAGCGAGGTATGGGGGGTGGATGTGGCCGGTATGTGGGCACGCTGTAGTGGGAGGGTACAGGGAGCGTGCAGGGGTGGGCAGGGGGGAACTGGCAGTGTGGGGAGTACGGGGGTGGGCGGGGAAGCAGGGTACAGAATGTGGATGTGGCCAGTACGTGGGCACGCTGTAGTGGGGGGCTCAGTGAGGGGGATGCGGGGTGGAGGTGCAGGGGGGCAGTGGGCAGGCTGTAGTGGGGGGGCTCAGTGGGGGATGTGGGGTGCGATGTGGGGATGCAGGGGGGACGGTGGGCAGGCTGTAGTGGGGGGCTCAGTGAGGGGAGGTGCGGGGTGGCCGTGCAGGCAGGCGGCGGGGGGCTCAGTGGGGAGGCGGGGTCGGTGTGCAGGGGGCGGTGGGCAGGCTGTAGTGGGGGGCTCAGTGGGGGGGTGAGGCGTGGCAGCAGAGAGGAGTTGTCGGGGGAATGTGGGGGCACGGGGGGGGGTCGGTGGGCAGGCTGTAGTGGGGGGCTCAGTGAGGGGAGGTGCAGGGGGCTCAATGGGGGGTGCGGGGTGGGGGGTGCAAGGGGCGGGCGTGGAGCGGAGCGGAGAGGAGTCGGGGGAATGTGCGGGTGAAGGGGGGCGGTGGGCAGGCTGTAGTGGGGGGCTCAGTGGGGGGTGTGGGGTGAAGGGGGCGGTGGGCTGGCTGTAGTGGGAAGGCTCGGGGGGTGCGGTGGGGGGTGCAGGGGGAATCAGTGGGGGGTGTGGGGGTGGGGTGCAGGGGGCAGTGGGCAGGCTGTAGTGGGGGGCTCAGGGAGGAGGTGGGGTGCGGGGTGGGGGTGCAGGGGGCGGGGCATGGCAGCGGAGAAGAGTCGTGGGAATGTGGGGGTGCAGGGGGCGGTGGGCAGGCTGTAGTGGGGGGGTCAGTGGGGGGCAGGGTGCGGGGTGGGGGTGCAGGGGGCGGGGCATGGCAGTGGAGATTGTGGGGGAGGGTAGTGTAGTGGGGGTTGGGGGTGGGAGTGAGTGGGAGGTGTGTGGGAAGTCGGGGGGGGTGGGGGGGGGGGGGAGTGTGTGGGGGGTGTGGGGGGGGGTGGGGGGGCGGGGGGGAGTGGGGGTGGGGGGAACGGAGAGGAGTTGGGGGCATGTGGGGGTGCAGA